CGAACTAGTTGAGGGACTCCTAGTTCGCCCATCGGCGAACTAGTTGAGTGACTCTTAGTTCGCCCATCGGCGAACTAAGCCGGGCCGGCTTAGTTTGCCGATGGGCGAACTAGTGGAGTGTCTCCTAGTTCGCCCATGGGCGAACTTGTCGTGACTAATTCGCGTTTTACGGCTGTTTCGGTTTTTTGCGGTTTCGTAAAACGATTCTTCGAGTTTTATAAAACGATCTCTGAGTTTTATAAAACGATTCTCGAGTTTTATAAACCGATTCTTCGAGTTTTATAAAACGATCCTCGAGTTTTATAAAACGATTCTCGAGTTTTATAAAATGATTCTTCGAGTTTTATAAAACGATTCTCGAGTTTTATAAAACGATTCTTCGAGTTTTATAAAACGATTCTCGAGTTTTATAAAACGATTCTCGAGTTTTATAAAACGATTCTTCGAGTTTTATAAAACGATTCTCGAGTTTTATAAAACGATTCTTCGAGTTTTATAAAACGATTCTCGAGTTTTATAAAACGATTCTCGAGTTTTATAAAACGATTCTTCGAGTTTTATAAAACGATTCTCGAGTTTTATAAAACGATTCTTCGAGTTTTATAAAACGATTCTCGAGTTTTATAAAACGATTCTCGAGTTTTATAAAACGATTCTCGAGTTTTATAAAACGACTCTTGAGTTTTATAAAACGACTCTTCGTTTTAATAAATGACTTTTGCGGAAAGTAATGATTCCAGAAGTTATCGTAGACGTTGATTTCGAGATTACGGTTTTTGACACCAACAAAAAAGATTCTCGAGTTTTATAAAACGATCCTCGAGTTTTATAAAATGATCCTCGAGTTTTATAAAACGATTCTTCGAGTTTTATAAAACGATCTCTGAGTTTTATAAAACGATTTCTCGAGTTTTATAAAACGATCTTTCGAGTTTTATAAAACGTATTTTTATTTTTACTTTTGCGGATACTTTTAGCCATTGATTCCGTCGTGACCGATTTTGACACCAACAATCGACACATTGGCTTGGGGAATCTAACATGTTTAGTCATTCTACTTGTCAAAACTTTTTAATTGCCATGATTTGGGAGCCCAAAGCGTGACTAAAATTCTCAAGAGCGTTTATGGAGATAGATGCATCACAATAAAGATTCTACAACTTGGATTTCATATACCTCTAGAGGACATAAAGGATGATTCTTTAGCTAGAATTTCTAGAGCTTTCATGTCCCCAATCCTAGATAGGATCGTTGGGATGGGCCATAATGCAAGGGAACAAGGAAGCTGTTCATGTGACCTAAGGCCAAGTGTTTCATGGCATAAAATGAAGCTTAAGTGCTTCAGAACATGGAGACTTAACCGAAGTGAGGTGCAAACAAATTTGGGGCAGCTGGACCAGGTGTATAATAGCTGGACGAAGTGTGAGGCAGCTGAGCAATGCGCGTAAGAAGCTGGACAAAGCTCAGTCTTAGCTCAACAAGAGGGTGTCAGCGCTCAATCAGCTGGATGAACTAGATCACTCAGCTGGGTTAGCTGGTATTCAGCTCAGTTCGACGTAGGGCTGGGAACTAATACTTGTTACTCGTCAATACTTGCTACTTGATTCGTACTCGGCTTAAAAAATCAAGTACTTGGCATTTTCAAGGTAAGTAACAAGTATGCAAATCTTACTACTTGCAAGTACAAGTCAAGTATCAAGTATCACTTTTTTTAATACTCGGCTCGTTACTTGTTTTATTACTTAATATTAATTCTAAAAATTGGCACTACCCTTAATATACTTGGTTTACTACTGTTATTGTAATAAATTTTAATTTTTTAGGTATTTAATGTAATACATACTTATATTCAGTGAATTATATATACACGCACTAAATCAAATAATTTGAACAAACTAAGTAAAACAACAAATATATGAAAAACATATATATATATATATATATATATATATATATATATCACGTTAACCAAAACTTATATGTTTTGGTATATTTAATTTCAAACTTTTAAACCTAAATAAACAAGTATCAAGTATTACCAAGTAATTTGTAAGTATTAAAAATATAGGCAAATACTTGACTAGCTAAGTACTTAATCGAATTAGTATAAGCACAAGTAAACGATTTAGTATTTGGACAAAGAAAGTCAAGTAGCAGGTAGGGCAAAAATCCCAAATACCCGGCTTGCGGCCAGGCCTAGTTCGACGGAGTGTTGGAGTCTTGGCAAGCATGAATTATAAAGTCTTAATGAACTAAAATCTATACATAATTATCATTTTAACATTATTTTAGTTTTTTGCTTAATTAATTACTAATTATTTTTTTATTCTAGCTTCCTTTTTCTTTCATTTTTTTCCAAAACAAGATAAATAATAAAAAGAAAATATCCATCCATGTATATTTTACATATATAACGAATTTATTTATTTTATATAAATTTATGAAACACCATACATAAAACAAATATAAATTAACAAAAAGAGAATGTATTTGATTTTCATACATATAAATCCAAAACAATCTACAACTTATAAAAAATATTAATAAAAGGAAATTAAAATAATGTTAGACTGGTAATTATGTATAAAATTTAACTCATTAAGGTAATCTTTGTAAATGAACACTTTAAGAATTAATGTGAGAACGACACGTAGGAAAGAGACTTTTCAAATAATATTATTGAGATTTGTAAAATTTGTAGTAATTTTTATTTAAGATTTTTAAACAACTAGCTTCTTTTTTATATAATTTTTTCAGATTAATTAATTATATATTTTTCTTATACGTACAAAATTTACCATATTCACACATACTCATGTACGACAATAACATCATAAATTACAAAAACTATGACAACATCATAATATGTAGTAAGGATAATAAAAAAAAATTGAATTATATCAAGAAACTAAGAAAATACTCAGGTAATAGTTTTCTTGTAAATACTATTGTGTTTTGTGAAAATAATGTGAAAAGCTTAAACCTAAATATTGATGTGAAATAATTGTAGTTATTTTTTGTTTATAATTTTTAAACATGAAATTATCTATTAAAAATAAATTTAGTTATTTATAAGAAAATAATAGAAGTACTTTTTACTATTTTATTGTGTTTAGGCTTTTTTGGGAAAGGAATATTACTTATTTTATAAAAAAAATTCTTTATTATTTTATGTTAAATATTTTATGATTTTTTTTTTGTTTAATTTTTTTCTTTAAAAAGTTACTATTTCTTAATTTTATTTCTTTAGTATCTTTAAAAACGAAAACAATTCTCTACAAAATTCTGATTTTCTTGTAATATAAAAATTACTTTCATCTAGATTTTTTAAATTATTTTTTAGGATTTTAAAAAAGTAAATTAATATCAAATATTTCTGAATATTATAATTATAAATTTATGATTAAAATTTAACAAATGTCACAATCTCAAAAACAATTAATCGATTATGTGAAATAATATTCTTTTCTAAATCATAATAAAGAAAATTTTCAAATAATTGTTTTCTTTTTTAAAGACCTAACCAAAAGAGAATTTTTTTTCAATCCCGAACAAGGAATTGTAAAATTTTATTTAATAGTAATTTTTATCTAAGAATTTAATGATAAACATATTTAATTAACAAAAATAAATTGTAAAAATAGTATTGATATTAAAACGACTTGTTAAAAATACTAATACAAAATAATTATGTAATAGTAACTGGAAATAATTGTTTGATAGAAATTTGTTTACTTTTCTTCAGTTTTAAATAAAATATAATTGTAAAATATTATGTAAGAGTAATTTTTCTTTTCTAAAATCCTAAGAAAAAACCGTAAAAGACTATTTTTTGTAATAATAATTTTCCTCTTTTAAATTTCATTTAAATTCAAAACAAAAGAGATATGTATCATATTTTTTTGACACATGATACAATCTTAAATTTTTTTTTAAAGCATGTCGTAATCATGTTAATATGATTTGGAGAACTAGTTTGATCAAATTTAGAAGAGGGCAGCTTGTGGTTGTAGGAAGAGTCTTCACACAATTTATCACAAGATTTCAGTCTCATCTTCGCGTAGACTAACTATGCGTCCCGGCAGAGCAATCTGCAAAAGCCAGTTGGTAAAACACATAAAGCAGGACGGACTGACCATACCACAACACCAAGCTTATTTACTGCATCTGAGCAATCAAAATCATTAGGAAGTGCATGCTGCATTACGAGTTCTTAGAAACTCTGTAACCCTCTTTGTCTTGAATCAGTTGATGCAAAGTCGCCCATTGTGAAGAGAGATGGGTCTTTTTGGGCAGAGGCACAAACTACTTTCTTAACATTCCTTTTTGTTTAGTAAAAAAAAAATCATCTTCCTTTTTGTCAAGTAACAATGACTTGGTTTCACGACCCTAGTAGATGCTCTCTTGTAGTGCTATAATTAAAAATATTGGTTCGTTTTCTTCCCTTTTATTTCAGTATCTTGGCAATAATATCATTGGCGCAAAGAACTTGGCAGAGTGTTAGCGGATACTCTTACATGAAGGAACTCAAGGCAGACTAGAAGAATATCTCGCTCTAAATGAAACTCGTTTTGTTTGTTACTTAAGTAGCTTGGTTTCAATTTCTTTCTTGGTTTATTTTTTTCTCTTTTGAATCTTTGGCTTTTGCGTTCTACATTACAGCTTTGGAACATTTCATTTTCATGATCTGAGAATTTAATATGGGAGAGCATATTGTTTTATTTTTACACCATAGCCAGCACTTCAATACCACCCATACGATTACAAAACCACAATTGGTTCAACACATAAAACGAGCAACGTGATCGACAAACATTTGAAAAGTATGATCATATAGCACCGGTTATGTGACAACACATGAACCTCCCAAATAAGTAAAGTTCACCGAAACATACACACAGTCAACAACCTCGTGCTAAGCGCGAACAACCCATTTAATCCAGAGAGTTTATAACTCTCACCTTATATATACAACATTAAAATTATCTCCAACTAACCCATTTAATCTTTGCTTTTCTGATAAATAGTTAGGCGTCACATGGAATTAATCTGCTAAACAATTCATTAACAAGTAAATGAAGGAAATCTGTAACGAAATGGACTGAACAGTCCTAGTTCTAAGACTAAGGATATTATAGAGACGACCGATGTTAAAGCAAAAGCTACTCCTTACTTTTGGTACATGTGTGAATGATAAAGAACATAGATAGTATTGGAGAAATCCTTACTGTTTGAGAAGACGAGACATTAAATGATGAGTAACCGAGAAATAATAGACCATCTAATCGAGCTGTTTTGTCCAGTCAAAGTGTTCCCATTCGCGTGCAAAGCTCACAGCTGCCTTCTTCTGGCTCTCCACCGACTCATGTCTCCTTCGTCTGTACATGTCTTCTTCTGGCAACTCGAGCATTCCTCTGATCACATTCAGTCCAAGATTGCTATTGAACTGTTGATCATCATCAATCACGTGGGCAAACCCTTTGTCTAGACCAAACTCAACGTGGAAGTAAGGGAAATCCTTGGGTATAGAGTTCCTGAGACCCTTTACGCTTGTGTCTATGAGCTTCTTTGCGTTGTGCTGACTCCACTCACTCTCAGCTTCATCGATTGCCTTCTTGAAGTAAAGAGGACCTTCATTCGCTATCTCCTGAGGGATTGGGATGCAGTCGATCAAACAGTGGTGGCGTTGCTGAGACAAACCAATCACTGTCTCGAGAAACACAACGTCTTTTCCTTGTTTCGCAAACATCATTACAAGACACTTCTTGAAATTCCGAATCTCGTCCCAAACATTGTCGTCAACACTTCTGCTGGCTGCCTCGTGCTGCACACAGTCAAAGAACACTCATCAAATTCAGGAAATAATTAAAAGGTCAAATACAGAAGAATCTATTTAGATTATAAAGTCACCTGCATTGGTAAAATACAGCAATGGCCAGGGACAAGGGGCTGATGTTGTGGTAGCATAAGATAGGTGAAGTTTGCGATTGACACGACTAAGTGTCTCGGCCGCTTTGGGTTCTCAAAACAGAAGAGACAGCGCTCTTGCTGAGTCAAGATGCGTTTCACGCGGGGAACGTTACTGGAGGAGGATTCCTGCTTCCGGGACTTTTTGCTTGGAGCGTCTCCATAGTCATACTCATCATCAGCAGCTTGGTTAGATGTTTTGTACTGTTTGTTATGCAATATGCTTTTGGCTAGATGCATATCTGTATCATCCTCTTCATTCTTCCTTTTACCTGACATGTCTCTGATAGGATACCTAATAAACGATAAATTATCAAGATTAGAACGAGAACCCGCCTAAAACAGCTCAGAAATATAAAAGTAAATTTACCTCGCTGCTCTGATGTAGTGTTGTTGTTCTTTGGATGAATCGTCTCCAACAGCTTGTTTTGCTTTCAGAATCTCTGCTTCTTCCTGTGAGAATCAAGAGAACTCATTTCAGAATAATACTGAAGAGAACTCTCAAAGAACAACAAGGCTGGCGAATGATGTCGAAGAAAAAAAAAAGGATAGTTTTACCGTAAGCTTCCGAGCTTCTTCAAGTTTCCCTTTCAGACGGAACTGTAAAGCTTTGGCAGCCAGTTGATTCACACTTAAAGATTCCATGTTGAGAAGAGTGGGTTCGCCATCTTTTTTGGTCTCTGAGGGTAATGTGTTTTGCTCCATGTCGCTTCTGTGATCTACACGCGTCTCTACGATCTTCATTGATTCATTCTTCTGCTTAGCTAGCATTTCCTTCATGAAGCTTCCATCGTTGGAAAACTTATTCAAGTGAGCTGCAGCTTCAGATATCAGCTTCGAGTCTTCATGTCTATGAGTTTGGCCCTTTCTTTTCCCCCAGGATAATGAAGGATCAGTTTTAGGGGCTCTGAGTTCACGATGACGACGTAGCGAGTCATCATCCTTCAAATACTCCCGACCATTACCCTTCCAAATAAAACACGCCACGATGTCAGAATATTTGGCTGATATGAGCCTGTAACTTTTACTTTTGCTCTTGTAAGCTATACAACAGAGAAAGAAGATTGAACTTTGAACAAAAAAAAAAAAAAAGAAAGAAGATTGAACTAAGCTTCTGTTTAATCCTAGTCATTATTAGAGAATAACGTTAATTGTTGGAACCTGGAAGATTATTTCTTATTTTGATGATAAACTGAACAGGACATCAGAAGAAGTACCTTCTCAGAAACTCTCTCTGGTTTTTTTACTTTCTCATTCTCTTCATTTTGCCCTCTTCTTCTATTATTAATGGCATTCAAATGGGCACGAGATGGAGCTGCTCTTTGAGATGCCACGGACTCAACAAGGTTAACAAGTGAACCCCATCGTTCTCCAGCAACCTGCAATAACCCTCAAAGAATAAAGGCAATATTCTATTAAAAAGAAAACAAGGGAAGGAAAGGACTATGCTAAGTTAACTTACCTCCTCAAGTTTTTGCCCTTCTCTAGCAGCATGTTCCTTTGCACGCTTGAGTGCTTTCATTCTCCAACTGGCACCACCGTCTCCAACAACAGAAGTTGGTAAAAGCTGATCTTTACCTTTTCTTTTCTCAGGTTCTTCCTCTGGATAACCGGATCCCTTGCCTTTCAAGTAAGGATTCAGCTCCCTCGGGTTTACTTTAACTACCTGGTCAAAAAAGACATCTTAAAAATCGTGATCTAACCCATCTAATATAGAGAGTCCAAGTTACCATTCCCTCACCTCTTCATCCATTTTTTCCTCAACATCTAAAGCAGTAGGGTGTGGATCATCCTTTGGGGTTGGTGGCAGCATCCAATCAAGACCAATACTCTTTCTAGCAGCAATATCACCCATGGCAATCTTCTTTTCATCACTCCTACTTTCCTTTTTGTCGTCGTCCTTGTTCTTTCTTCTTCTTCTATCCTTCCTACTTATGGATTTATCTTCTTCTCCCTCGGAACTATCATCACGCACCTAACAGGAAAATAAAATAACATCAAACTACTCTTTAAACACATTAAAAATAAGTCATGATGAATTTGAAACAAGTAGCTTTACCTCATCACGAGGTATGATTTTTATGCCAGAAAACATACGAACAATGGGTCGTTCAAGAATCCACAACGGACTTCAAAGGTAGATTGAAGCCAACCAACTTCGACACTACACAAACATAGCAGACAAAAAAGTAGGTCATGTTTAAGACATAATAAAAACAAAAGTAGTATTACTACTACCAGTAAGGCAAAACAGCTATGTTGTAGATTACAAACGAACATCAAAAGTTTTGCTAATAACCAAATTTTGATCCTATTAGAGTATGGATCCTTGGAGCAAATTCAATTTACACACGTGTAATCGAAAAATTAAAAACCTCCTCTACAATTGGAGAAAGAGCTTAATCGAAACAGAACAATCTTAACCGAGGATTTGAACAAGTAATTCAGAATACATACCGTAGGCAGAAGAAGATAGTTTCGCTGATTTTTAGAAGCAACAAAAATAGGAATCAGGGAAAGCGACGAAACGGACTAAAACCGGAAAATATTGAACCGTAAAAAAAAAACATGAACGGGGCTAATAACCGACATATTACGAACCGGGACAAAAAAAAAATAAAAATAATGAAGGACTTAACCGGAAAATGTGGAACCGGGATTTGTATGACTAAAACCGGAAAATATTGAACCGTAAAAAAACATGAACGGGGCTAATAACCGACATATTACGAACCGGGACCAGAAAAAATATTAAAAATAATGAAAGACTTAACCGGAAAATGTGGAACCGGGATTTGTATTCGGTATCGTCTCGAACCGATCCATCATCACCTAGAGGAGGAGGAATAAATCATCTTCCGCATCGCACTTTCATTTCCTCTCGGCGCCTCCTCTTACCCAGAAAATCGTCGTCTCCATCTATTACTCTTAGGATCAGTAGTTTGAAGCTTAAAAGTAGTTCAATGGATGCTGATTACAAGAGATTCTTGTCTACGCTTCGATCTCGATCTGGTGAGAATAAATCAACCTCAGTTTCCTTTCCTTATTTTCCCCTCTGAAATCAGTATGTAATTCTAGTGATTTTTTTGATGAAAACATCATCATGTTTCTTGATTGTGCCAAGATGAAAACTTTTCCATCTGTTTTTTTATTTTTTGTGTAAAGTTTCTGTTCTTTTTTTGTTTATCTTGCTTGTTAGTAGTCTTTAGCTATGGAAGGGGAAGTAGTGAACTTTTTGTGTTTATTTGAGCTGCTTAAATCTTTGTTAAGAAATATCATGCTCTTATAGGCCAACTTTCCCTGCTATTCTTCACAGTACATTTATTTAAGTATTGGTTTTAAGTTGTTTTATGTCAACAAAATTTACAGACAAATCTTTTTAATGAGGATGAATATTACCTTCAGTTTTTTTTGTCATGTTGTTGTCGTTCCCCTGCCAAAATGAAAATTTTTTGTTATCATGATCATAATTTATGTGCCCTTTCTAAAAAAAATGCAGAGGTTTTAATGGGCTTTGAAGAAATAGATGGTGATGATGATTTCCTGGAGGAGTTTGCCTGCCCGTTCTGCGCAGAATCGTATGATATCATCGGCTTGTGCTGTCACATAGATGATGAACATAATCTAGAATCAAAGAACGCGGTACTTTATTCTCTCTCCAATGATATTGGTTCTTAACTATACGAATCGAAAGTTAATATTATCAATCTTTTATGCAGGTATGTCCTGTTTGTTCTCTAGTAGTGGGTGTTGATATCGTAACGCACATTACACTTCACCATGGGACTTTATTCAAGATATCCTTTTTTTATTTAATAATCGTTTTCTATACTTACAGATTTGGCATCACATTTGCTTTGTTGAATTTTCTTAATGAGTTACCTACATGCAGCGAAAGAGGAAATCATCACGGAAAATTGGTTCAAGCTCAACACTTTCTCTTCTCCGGAGAGAGCTAAGAGAAGGAGATCTACAAAGGTTGTTAGGGATTTCCTCTTCTCGTAATGCTTCTACTGCATCTAATGATCCTCTTCTTTCCTCATTTATCTCACCTACACTATCACATTTATCTCCGACCAATAAAGTACCCGAGGAGAAAAAGTTAGAGCGGTATGTATGCTTTCTATATTATTTAGCTTCTCTTTTATATTTTAGAGTTTACAAAGGTTTAGTAGTTCTTTGAACTTGTTTAGCAAGAGACAAGTGTGTATCCCACCTGTCTCATTTAAGGATCAGGAAGAGACGAGGAATAGATCAGAGTTTGTTCGGAGGCTCTTGTCATCAGCTATTTTCTCTGAGGTCTGATCAAAGCGAAGAAAAAAAGATCGTGGAACTAATTAATACTGCGGAATCAGACTTGAGAAAATCTGGTAAATAGGAAAGCTCCTGTTCCTACTTGTTTAGCAGAAACCCGCATAGACACATTTTCATCTTAATCTTGATTCAAACTATGTAGGTTTTGAGAGAGAGAAAAAACAGTGGTTGGGGTGAGAAGAAGACGGGAGAAGAGACGCAGCAGCTGTGATATCTATTTCCATGTCTATGTATTGTGTATGTTTTAATTATATAAGACCATAAGTAGACGCTACTGAATAAATTGTGTGTTAAAGTTTATTAAGTCGTTAAAAGTAAGATGACTTTTCCTCTCTATTGATTGAAGTGTGGGTCTGATCAACGAGAAAAAAAAACAGTGTTTCCGGTGATGCTCTTCTTTCCAAAGACACGATCATGGTGTTCTTTTATTTCTTCTCTCTTTCATTCAGATTATCATAAATCAAATCTACAGATGCTAGGGTTTGATCCTAGAAAGGACAGTTGACAAGGCTACTACACACTAAGCTAATCTCAGCTACCTACATTAATCCCAAGCTGGCTACAGTCTCTCTGAACTACGAGGGAACTTGTTCTACTCGAAGGAGTTACTCAAACTAGACCAATTGACAAGGCTTATGGAATATCTGAGTCGATGGTTAGTCTGAATCTCAACTATGCGTTTCCATAGGCTTGACCGAGGGTGTAACAGAGCACCTGAAACGCGACTTGAGTTCTGCGTGAGATATCACCATATCTCTCTGTTTAACGGTCGAAGCAATGGCTTTAGGCCCTTTTACTTCTTATGGAGCCTATGCAAGGCAGAGCAAGAAGGAAACCGTGGATCTGTGTCAGTCCAATAATTATAGATCGTCTCCTTGAACAGAGGATGGATGCTCTGTTAAATAATTGAAGAACTGAAAATATCTTCTCTTAGGAGTATCAACATTGTTCAATTTTACAACACATCTCATGTGATCCGAAATACCATTTGTTTAATGGTTACTCTTTATAATTATTATTTAAAACATTAAAGTGTTTCACGTTAAGGTTTATGATATGTTTTTCATTTTCAATTTATATGTATATGCTGTATCGATATCTATAAATTTTTTGTTTTGTCGTTTCTCGTCTCCGTCTCAATATATGTGTATGATCTGTACCCGTTTCGGTGCATAGCCAGAAATTAGTTTTACTTGTTCACTCTCGTACATATCAAACCGATTAGGTCAGAAATTTGTTACCAACCCGGTTTTAACTTGGTTTATTTGGTTCTAGTTTACTGGTACATCAGTTTATTTGAGCCTTGAATATGTATAACAAGGACCAAAACCAACGAATGAAGGAAACCAACCAATTATAACATCATTTTAATATTTTAAACTTAGAAGAAATGGCATCTGATCTGAAAACGGTGGATCTGAATATTTCCCCGTTAAGATCTGATCTGAAACGAAATGGTTTGCGGCTTCGGTGTAGTGAATTCCATCCCAATTTATATACTCGGAACTGTCATTGCATGCTTTGGCCGTTACCGTTGTCCCATCTAAGACTTTTGTTTGGCCACACGAAATGCGGCTATCATAATTTAGAGGCGCTCCTCCAACTCCACAACATACCATTAAGGGGTTTTCGAAACCTGAAACAACCAGAATTGTTACAAAACCAAAATTTCTCAAGACTTTTAGATCAAAGTTTTTTCTGATATTCGGATTACATGGCAATGAAAGTCTTACCGAATTGCGTATAGTTAGCGATGAGATTAGATTTGATCGAGAAGATATCAACGTAAGTAACATTTGAATCACGGAATTGGGCTTGAAATTTATTGGAGAGAGCATGTAGTTGAAGATTGAACAGTTTCGCTGCTTGGTTATGGGAACTTACACATCCAAACTCATCAAGCTTTGTTGAATCCGTCCCAAATTTGGCAATATTTTGAGCCAAACATCCTAAAGGTCCTGTGTTGTGTATCCAAAAGTTTCTAGCTCCTTCTTCGTACAGCCTCTGCCAAATTAATTTGCATTTAATTTTACGAAAGCCTATTAACTAGATAAGTGAAACAAAAACGTGATTTTTTTCATCTACTCTATTAAAATAGAGTCACTATTTTTATCTACTACAAAGAAGTCATATTGGACCATTTCATTAATTATTTAATATAACATATTAAATTATTTAGGTTAATGAATCAAATATATATCATATATGTTGAAAATAATAGATTTACATTTTATTTTTTAGTTATAACAGAATCGGTTGAGAGAAAATCTAACAAAATCTTACTAAAATTTTAAATATTTTTTTATTAAATAACATAATAATGAATTTCGTAATTAATAAAATCATACCATTATACATTAATAGTAATTAAAATTTCACTATAATAACAAAAAAAAGAATCATCATATACTATTTTATAAATTTCATATTATAGTCTATGTTATATTAAAATAGAATTGCACTATGAATTAAAGAAAATAAATAAATTTGGTAAATGAAACTTTATTTTAAAATTTATTTCACTTAAATAAAAAAATTATTCACCATTAAAAGGATTAACATAATAAATTATGTATATTTTTTATACAAAAATGTTAGCATAATGTTAAATTTTTACTATATCTGATTTTTTACTTAATTTAAAACACACAAAAACATATTATCTAAAATGATTATATAAAAAATATAATAGTATATAACTAACTTTTAGTTCATGTGTTATTTAGAAAAGATAGGATATCAGAAAATTTAATATTTTATTATAAAATAATATGTAGAGAAAATATAAAAATATAAAAACATTTTATATTAATTATGTTGAATGACAAAATAAAAAGTTAAAGAATATTATATATTAATAATGTTGAATAAAAACCTACACCAATTAGATTATAAATTTACAGAATATATAACATAAAAATATAAATTATATATTTAAAACATTTACATTAATATTAAATAAATTTTTAAAAATGAAAATATACCCGCACGAATGTGCGGGTAAAAATTCTAGTAATCATTAAATTTAACTACGTAGTAAATATAAAATCACCGTGTAATAGGAAAAATAACATATATGCTTTCACTAGTGTCTATATTATCAATTAAAATTATGCTGCATTTCTAACTTTTGTTAAACTTTAAGCCTTCCATAAAACATACTTTAGCTTCATAAATTTTCTTTTAAAAAATAAATAAATCTATATTTAGTTTTGCATAAAAGAAAATTAATACATCTTTAAAAAGTCCTATATTTATTTGAAAAAAATAAATTCAACTTAATTTTATTTGAATTTGTGTAAGTACTAGAAACAATGATTTTACCTTGAGTCCAGCTTCAAAAGTCTCAAGAGTGGAAGGAATAGAGGCAATAACTTGGTCAAGAGTCTTGGAGTAAAAGGCACCAGCGATATCATTTTGGCCTATGTCAATCATGTATAGTCCTTTGGCATAATAATCAGATGGTGGCAAGTACCTTTCATATCTCCTTCCTGCCAAATTTGTCAAACAAGTTTTTGCTTCATTTATACATCATATAGCATTGCACATAACATCCCACCAATAACATTTTCAAATTAGCCCCACCTGTTTTAGCAAGTAGTTCAAGTGCCCTAGATTTGAACCGGATGAATTGAGAGATTTGAAGATCAAAGGAGAAGGGAGAAACAGAGGTCGGGTTTGCGGGAAGAATAGTGGATCCGGCTGCTGCAAAGTTACACCCCTTTTTGAAATTTGGTAATCCTAGTGAATCCAAATACGGATTTAGAAATGGCATGTCCATTGCATCCACTGCAAAACAAAAACAATTGATATGAAGTGAATTCCAAATCGAAGTGGTGTTTCAACGAAGAACAAAATAGTTTGTTTGCATTTGTAACAATTTATATATACATAGAAAATCTACAATAAGACGCCCATCACAATATCTTCCTGAGGGAAGCTTGAAGCAAGTCTGGCCATAGGGTGGATTAAGACTTTCAATCCCGGCGGATATAAGATTGCCCGTGTCGGAATTTGAATCCCCAAAGTTAATGATTGCCGGGGGTTTTAGGATTATAGAGAGAGTTGAGGGCAAAAAGGAGATGAAGAAGAGAATTGAGAGACTGTTTACAGTGAGAGCCATAGCCATAGGATTGAAACAACAATAGATAAGTGATAAAAAGGGAATGATATATATGGTTCTCTCATCGCTCTTTTTAATATATTGAATAAGAAATAGGGTCAAACGAACAAACAAAAAAGTGCCTACAACAACCATGTCCGTTTGTTATAGAAAGTTGTTAAATTCTTTTGTAAACATATTTTACAACAGTAATTTTAGAAATATATAATAGTAGGTTGCTTTGAGATTGGTTCAGGTTGCTTCAGAGTGAAGGCTTATCGAGATCATAAGTTTTATTTTCTTTTAACAAAAATGTTTTTGTTTATAGGGATGATTAGATTGGTGCTCGTGATGAAGAAATTGGACATTATTTTTATGATAGATAATAAGGCAGAGAGTAAAGATAATATTATGATCAAACATGCAAATTATATGAAATCAGTGTAAGGTTTCACAACTTTCTTTGTTATGTAGCTAAGCTTTCTTCCAAATTAGGCAAAAGAAGATACAAATGGAGAAAACGTAATTAAGTTGTTTTAGCGTATGCTTGAAGTAAATTAAAAATGTTTAAATAAGATCATTTGATAAAGCTACACCTATTAATCTCTTTTTTTCGTTTACAACACTAGTTGTATGTCCTAAGATCATCTCTAACAATCTCCTTATTTTAAAGGAGATGCCTACTCAAAATAAAAAGATAAGAGAGTAGTTCTCCTTTAGTGACCTTTTAAAAATTTTATCTACAAACTTTATTTATTATATTTTAATCTTCAATATTTTTAGTAATTAACTATAATTACCAAACTTTCATAAAAAACAATAAACATACATTTTAAATAGATAATCAATAAATATACTCTCATAAATAAACAAAAACATCAAATTACTTATAATAACTATAGAAACATAAAATTACAAATAATAATAACACAGACCATCCAAATAAATTTTGAAAAGATGAATATCCGATACTAAAATTTATTTTTATCTAAACTTTGTTAATATGTTCTTTGATGCAAATATAAGTCTATGTATGTATATATAAATAAATGAAAGTTCTCATAGTTAGTCTTTACCATTCAATAGATTTTCTGTCTCAACAACCACTA